CTCACTACTTTGAGACTTGTAGGCTTATACTTCAGATGTTTTTTCTCCTACTGTGTTGAATCAAGCAAAGTCCTTAAAGTGAAGGCATTTGGAAGAATGTTTTTTTTGTTCACTTCTAACTGTGTATTTTTCATTACGTGAGTGCAAATTGCAGAAATAGTCTGAGGTCTCTGACAGTCAGTCTACATTTTACAAATTACAACTAGTCTAAATGTAAATATAATGGAATCTGAAACAATACTAGCTTTATGTAGTTTTCAATCTGTTGAAAGACTTCCTGTAGCTGTGTCCTCTTTTAAATAGCTGATTATAGAAAAGACTCAGTACTCATTATCATCTATATGAAAATGCAGTTCAAATGAAAACAGTAGGTTAGCTACTAATATCCCTATTCAGATTTTATTCACTTAAACAGTCATATAGATGATAATAGGTGTTTTGACTGATTAGAGATATCAGGATCAGGTCTATAGTCATTATGACTAATGTTTTCTCATTAACTAGTCATGCATATCAGAATAATTGATCTGTGCTATCACTAACATGTACAAAGCTCTCACAGCATGGTCATCATTAACAACACAGAAAAAAAGGAAGTAAGGAGCTAAAAAACCTAAATGGGGAGACAGTACAAAACACTGGGATACACATCAGAGAAAGCTACTTTCTCTTTTCATATAAAATACTAAAGGGAGAGAACAGTTTTAAGACTATTTTTATTATGGGATATTTGTGAGGGAATCAGCTTTGAAGAGGTAGAAAAGAGAGACCGTGTCTCACTAGGATGAGAAGACAGGTCCTGACATAGATCATAAATGAGCAGCCTTTTGCATTCATATCTTCATGCATTTTTTTTGCCAGTAAAAACAACGTAATTAAATGAACTTGATAGAGAAACCTGCCAAGCATTTTACTAAAACTGGCCTGTCATAAATGGCTTTATATGATAATATTTGAAAGTGAAAACTGCAAAGTAGGGATTGTTTCCTGAATTCTTATTAAACTTTTTGGGTTTGTGTGGCCAGGTGGCAGGAGGCTACACGGGTCGCTTCGGTGAGAAGCTGCTGGAAGCTTCCCCCATGTGTGGTGGAACCAATGCCAGCTGGCTCCAGGACATACCCACCGCTGGCCAAGGCTAAGTCAGTCAGGAATGATAGTGATGCCTGTGACAACATATTTCAGAAGGATTAAAAAAAAAAAAGTTATTTGAGCAGATGAAAATTGCAGCCAGAGAAGCGTGGAGTGAGAACATGTGTACAGTTCTGCAGACGCTGAGGTCAGTGCAGGAGGGGCAGGAGGTGCTCCAGGTGCCGGAGCTGAGGCCCCTGCAGCCCGTGGTGCAGACCATGGGAGGACCATGGGAGTGCAGAGATCCACCTGCAGCCTGTGGAGGGGACCCACACCAGAGCAGGTGGATGCCCAAAGGAGGCTGTGACCCCATGGGAGGCCCATGCTGGATCAGGGTCCTGGCAGGGACCTGCTGACCCGTGGGAAGAGGAGCCCATGCTGGAGAAGGTTTTCCTGGTAGGACTTGTGGCCCTGTGGGGGACCCACACTGGAGCATCCTGTGCCTGAAGGACTTCACCCTGTGGAAAAATGACCCACTTTGCAGCAGTTTGTGAAGAACTGTTGCCTGTAGGATGGATCCACACTGGAGAAGTTTGTGAAGGACTGTCTCCCATGGGAGGGACCACACGGGGAGCAGGGGAGAGACTCCTGTCTCGGACCAGTGGCAGAAACAACCTGTGGTTACAACTGTGTAACCTGTGGTTACAACTGACTGTAACCCCCATTCCCATCTCCTTTCACCGCTGAGGGAGAGAAGGTAGAAATTGGAAAGGAGGGTGGGGTGGGAGGAAAGTGGTTTTAAGATTTATTTTACTTCTCATTCTCCTACTCTGATTCTGTTAGTATATTTAATTAATATCCCCATTTAGAGTCTGTTTTGACTCAGCGATTGCTGAGGCATGTCCCCCAGTCCTTATCTCAGCTCATGAACCCTTAGTTATATTTTCTCTTCCTCTGTCCAGTTGCAGAGGAGAGTGATAGAGTGGCTTGATGAGTACCCGCTACAGTTATACACCCCACAAGTGTACACTTCATACATTTATTATATGGTTGGTCCTGCAGCAGTTTTAGTGATTACTGGCACAGTACCATAGTTACATTTTTTGTTAATACTGATATGTCAGAGCTGGTGCATAAGACAGATTTCCTTGTTCCTGTTTCTTTCAGTTCCCCTCTGAAAAGGGGCCCAGTGGGATGCAGTCTCAGCCAAGGGCCATGCTAATGTAGGCAATGATGTAAACAAGTCAATAAAGAGTTTAATGCTGGCCATCAGTATTGCATTGTTAGGTGTCTTTCAGCATTTGCATTTTTATTTCAGTCTTTGTTTTGCCTGGTGATGCTGCTCAGGACATAAGTGTAATAATGTAACTGAGCTTTGTGAGAATGTGATCAGCACATCTGCATAAAATAGTGAATGGGTTGCTGAAAACTCCATTTAACATATTCCTTCTAAAATCAGTGCATTCCTCTTGTCCTCTTGTTCCTTTCCTTCTTCCTTGCTATAGCAGACATTTCAAAAGTTATTCTGTGCCTCTGAATGGTTCTGTGCTGCTTAACTGTTCCAACCCATTAGATTATAAATTTGTTTCTCGTGTTTCAAATTTGTGCATAGGGGATGTGTTTAGAGGGACTTTTTGTATTCATGAAAAAGGAAAACAAAATTGAAAGTGCTAAGAAAAATGACTATTGAGGTAATGTAGTCTATTTTTGCACAGAGCAAATATCAAGCTAATGCATAAGATTTATCCTCTATAGTAAATCAGCAATATGTCTCATTTTAGGCCTCTCCTATGACTACTATTTTTTACTGCATATTCAGTCATGCTGATTTATGCCATACTATCCTGTGAATATTTTGCAGAATATTATCAATAAAATAATTTTATTTTTGGGTCCAGATGGAATGAGCTTAGAACACAAAGACACAGAGGATGATTCCTGCCTCAAGTATTTTAATGCTTGAAATAAACTTGGCATAAAATGTGAGACAGGGACACAAGACATCAGGGAGTGGAGGACTGGATCAGGAAAGGCATCAGCCAATTAACAAAATATTTTGTGCTGTAAGGGCTCTTGTACTCAGATGGCTCTGTTTAGCTGGAAGGGTTTCATTAGAGTCGTGGCAGGAATCCTTCTGGCAGGAATCCTTCTGGAGAGTAGGAACAAACTAAGACAGCAAGTGGTGGCACCACAGAACTACTCAGGATAAGTGCCCCTACTTGTGAACAGAAGCAGCCGTTTCAGTAGTCCCATGAGACAACCCCTATAAGAAACTGGAACAATGGGAGAGGACTGGGGATAAGAAAACAGGTTCTGGTCTCACTTCCTTCACCTTGAGATCAAGTCAGGAATAAGTGGCTGAAATTATCTTGTTTATTGTGGGCCTCTACTAGTTTGTATGTGTGTGAATATATGGACGTGTGGCAATTTTCCACAGAAACTGAATTAAATTTAGGTTTTGTTGTGCTTTATGTTCTGGTATGGTGATTATTATTCTCCAGGGAAGCATGAAAATACTTGATAGATTAGTTAACTAAAATTAGTATTGGATACATCACTGATGTACTCTTATGTAACTTATGTTTCTGAAGAATTGAAAAAATATCACAAAATTTCTTCTTTCAGCAGTGTATACATCTGCATTCTTTGTAGACATCTACATAGTCTTTCATAGTAAACAAGTTTTTTTGGATGACATAGTACTCTGAGGTTGAGCTTCGGACACTGAAATTATATTTTAATTACATTCATATGATATTTGAGAACGTTTATATTAGGACACCCATGAATAGGTATAACATGTATTTGTTAGGCATTTTGCATTGGCAGGACACAGGGTCTGACCCTTACTGTGTGAGAAACACGTAAAAATAAAGCAGGTCAGCCATGTTTAAAAATATTATTCCAGGTAATATTTACTGTGTACATAAATAGAATATACTATGCTGATGAATGTAGGGAAAAATAGTAGAATGGGGAGAAAGACAGTGAAAAGGTTTTCATCTCTAAGGGACTGCTACTGATTCTGAAGTTCCCCAATGTTAATGGGTCAAATCTTCTGTTGAAATTGAGAAATATCTGTTTAAAACTTTATTCTGATCTTAGTTCAACTTCTGATAATACGCTTGAGTCTCTGAACTTGGAGGTGTATAATCTAGATTTAATTCATGCCATGGATATTTCAAAATTTCCTAAGGAATAGCAGTAGGCATTCTAAAAAGTGCTTCATTCCAAGCAGTGATCAGCATTGCCTGTGAAATCAAATTCATTAGCATTGCCCTGGGCTTCCACAACTCTCTGCATATCACATTCTGTTCCATAGTTTCACAAACAGAATGCGTTTCATTTCATTTTCCTTGAAAATTTACTTGGCCTAATATCTTGGCAGCAGTTTACAAACTTTGCTAGGTTATACATCTGCCAGCAAGGATAAAGAAGTGGCTTTCAGTCTTCCATGAATAAAAGTAAATTTGCTAAATTAAATATTTGTTTTCTTTCTATGATATCAGTCAAACTCGTCTTTTAAACTTCATCCAAAGAAATTTTCATGCAATTTGACCTCATAAAACTTGCAGCTAGACAAGTAAGATGCAAATTATGGAGAGCTGAGGTAATTAATCTCATAGACCACTTGCCAAAGATTACAGTTGGTGCTCATGAGTGGTAAGCTTAAACTGTAGACAGAATGCATTTCCTAGGAGTTACAGTATAGTCCACCTGTAATTATTGGTCAAGAAGCAGGAGTTACTGGAAGGTGTTAAGAACTAGACCAGGCAAAATAAGATGATCATAATACTGTCCTCAGAAAGTAAAATTATTTTAACTTATTACTTAAAGAGTCAAATAGAAACCTTTCACAACAGTTTGTTACTGATTTTCAGTATACAACAAAAGTGGTTGTTTTCTGTTTGTTTGTTTTTCCCTTCTGACAGGTGCAGTTAGTTACAACAGTTTTTACGTTTTTTGCAAAAATTTCTGCCAAGCTGTGAAGCCTGGGAAACTGAGGGTCCGCTGCAATGTGTGTAAACAAGGAACCCTGACCTTGGATAGGGTAAGCTTTTTTGGATTTTTTTTCAAGGTTTTGGAGTATATGGAAATGATATATCTAGTTTTTTCTGTTTGCATACATGTGGCTACGTATATATGTATTCCTACTTGTTTTTTTCTTACTGTTTAAAACTGAGAAGAGTAATTCAAAGGCTTTTGAAAATTTCGTTTATTTATCTCCATTATTTGCATCATATGCAGGGAACAAAGTGCAGACTAGAGCTCCAGTTCTGGAAAGACATAGCCCCTCTGAGGGCTAATGATTAACCTGGTAGTATGCGCAATGTATACAACTACATGTATGCCAAAACGATGGGATTATAGATGCTTATTCAAAGCTTGTAGCAGTTGTGAAGGCCACAGAAAAACCTGAATTCAGATCTAGATTTGTGGCCGTTATGGAATGAGATAGGAAGGTTTTGAGTGGCTGTGCAAATGAGAATGTTAATCCTTCCAGCCTAGTTGCTGCATGTAAAGCCAAAGGAAACTTATTGCGTTGGACTAGAAAGTTAGTAGGAGATCTGTCAAGCTTGGTTCGCATCCTAAAATGGGAAAGTGTTTTTTGACTTGAATGTGCAGTAGTTTGTTTGTTTGTTTGTGTTTGTGTGTGTTTTGTTTCTTTTGGGTTTTTGGTTTGGTTTGATTTGGTTTTTTGTGTTTGGGGTTTTTTTTGGTCTAAGTGCTGCTGAATTTTACTGGTTCTGTTACTGTTGAATGAGAGACTCTTCTCTCTCATAAATCAGTGTTTGTCAACCAAGTTTATGATTGTGAGAGGTTTAGGTTTTGAAGGAGAGTGAGCCGTACCATGCTATAGCTTGGGGCAGGGACTTTCATATTTGGCACATGTGCAGGTGTTCAAATTTGTCTTTCACTGTGGTTTAAAGTGGTTAATTTCAGCTTCATGTTCTCAGTGCTTCAATGTCTCTACATGTAATAGCATTATAAGAGTCTTTAAAAACCCAACTCCTCTATTCTCATTGAAAAGAATAAATCGTACCATGCTTATACACATCCAATTCAAAAAGCTATAACAACGAACTCCCTCAAGCTTTGTGTGCTAATCCTGAATTACCTGACTATCTCTGATGTATTTCAGAGGCTTCAGAGAGTTGCATTTTGTGGTGTTCCAGATGAACACATCTAAGGGGATTTTTTTTCTCTCAAAAGTTGCATTTAGTGATTAGTATAGCCTTAATCACATATAAATCAAGACACAAGAGAAGTCACCATTAATGTACATTTTCAGTGGTGGGATGGATAGAAACACAGGCAACATTGTATTCAGCTGGAATACAAGCAGTCAGTGCTGCTGAAAGACATTGCTGTTATCACTAGATGAGTCTGAATCTTGTGCATCGCATTGACGTCACAAAACATGAGTCCTTTGCTAGACTAAGTGTCTTTCTTCAGCATACCCACTTTTGGGAATGATGACTTTCACATCTATACTGTTTGGTTTGGAATCTCTATGTTCCTTTTATTAAGTAAACTTTAATAAATTTCCCAACTTTTCAGCTTGTATAGTATCTGCTAAACAGTGTTATTTGTTTTGGAGACTTAAAAACCAACCAACCAACCAAACAAACAAACAAAATATCCAACCTTTTATTGTCTCCCAGGAATTCCTCATAACTCCATGCTGGAAACTATTATAAAAAGTTTGAGTATGGTATCCTTATCAATAAGTTCTAATTGCCTGGAATGTACATGGGCTCACATTTGTTTAGCATGTACAGGGGCAATGAAACAATAAATATACACAAGCTGATAAATTCAATTGAATGGGCAGATTACAGCAGCTTCTTTTTTTATTTGCATATTGTACAGTAAATATGAAAAGAATAGCTGAAAACTTGCAGTGGAAGCTGTTCCAGTTTTCAAGATTGATTAAAAAAATCCCAGCTTTCAGAAGATTTGAGAAGTTACTTCAGCATAAAAGTACAAAAGACAAAAGGGAGATATCTTTTGGAGAGTATCAAATGATAATTTTAGTCTGTTTTAGTTTTGTCTATGAAATTAATTTGCACTTAAGATTCTTGTTACTTTTCTCCCAAAACAGAGAAAATCTGTTATCATTCTTTGTCTCTCAAATTCAAGCAGAACACAGAAGTTAGGAACAGTGAGCGTGCTGGTTTTGCAGCTTGGGCTGTCAGTCCTCTGGACTTCCAAAATGCAATATTTGAAATATGGGCACACTTAGTCTCATGAATGTGCTGTTCAACAGTCAGTTTGTTTTATAAATACATAGCGTCTACCTCAGTTCTCTGGCTGTAAAGAGTAGGTACAGATTTGGTAGGTGCCTGGCCCTTGTGAACCTCTTTTTTTGTCATTTTCTGGTCTATGTTCCGGGGAGACAGGAAATAATTCCACCCGCGGACGCTTCTAATATGTACTAAGACTCATTTATTTTTCAGTACTGTGTAGAGGCCTCTCTGTGTTAAGGCCAGGCAGAAGTGTGGCCCATACAGAAAGTGCTCTGCTTTCTTCAGTGCTCTGCAGCCTACAATAGGCAAGTTCTGTCCAGCTGAAAATCTTACTGTCAATCGTTTGACTTTAAATGATATGACTTGCATATCAAAAAAAGTTCAAGTTAGTATATTATCCCAAACCCTCTACCTTTCGCCTCCAATCCCACTGGACTGTGTCAGTGATTGCTGATATACATCTTCTCTACTGGTTCTACAGTTATTTTCCTTGTATAGAGAAATTAGTCAAAATAAAGTTTACATGAATAAACTGTAAAAAAAGCATGTCTGTACCACTATACTACGGATTTGCCAGCAAAGCCACATTTTTGTGGCTCTCTTTTTTCCTCCCATTCTTCCTGAACCGTACCTGACCTTTACATGGCAACACAGCAAGTTTCTTGAGAATCTCTCTTATGCTGTAAGCACCAAAGCACCGTGTAAGCCAGCATCTGTTACACTAGTTCTTTTATTGAGATGAAAGTGAATACCTGTGTAAAACGCACATAAAGCTTTGGACAACTTTCACTTACTCTACATGCTAATTCTTTTCCTACCTAAGCTACAAATGACCAGCTTAATTAAATTGAGCTTTCTTTTTTCATGGTGTGTTGACTTACATTTTAAAATATTACTTACTCATTTAAACAGTCTTATTCCAAAACCTTATTTAACTATCATGCCTATTTGCATAGCATTATTTTAATATATGATGCTTAGAGTGAATTTATGATACTATATTTCTGTGAAATTAAAGAGCCCACTGTTTTTATTTTTACCAAAGACATCCTTCTAAATATTAAACTTGTTATTTTTCATCTGACACTTAGGCTGGTGTTTTATGAACATTTCATGACCTAATGCTTTATGGAAGATACATACCAGGTTGATTTAATTATAAGAAAACATCAGTCAGTGCAGAAGTATCAGCTCTCCCTAGTTCCTCTAATTAATCAAGCACAAAAGCATGTCTGCAAAGACTGAGTGTGGGAGTCTGGTGTAGACCACCTAGAAGCCTACCAGTAACTTTCTTCATATAATCTGAAAATTTTAGTCATTAGTTTCACAGTGGTGTTCGTTGGTTGTTTGGGTTTTTTTTTCATATCATACAATTCTGCAATTTGTTTCAGGAGCCGTGATTCAGATAATTATGATATTCTTCTTTCCAGGAAAAAAACCCACAAAACGAAACCACCGAAAAACAAACAAGGAGGCAACAGAAAACCTAAAATAAACAAACAAACAAAACCCCACAAAAGAAAGTCTAATTATAGCAGTCACATTTGCAGTTCTTCTTTTGGAGCCATAAGAGTGTTAATATTCACAGTGTTAACTCTATATTGAAAAGGAAAATGTGTATCTGTGAATGGAAGGCCTGATTCTGCAAACTGATATGCACCAACTATACACAAACCCAGACTTTTTCAGTGTAATTGATTCTGTGATGTACTCCTGGTACAAAAGACATTTGATTTGGTATCTATTTGTCATAATACTGAATTCAACTAGAGTAAGACTGTGGATTGAAGTGTGGTATACAGACTTTAGGTCTCCCTACTCAGCCACAGGTGCTATTGTGAGGCCATTTCTAATGCGGGGACTCATTACTATTTGGTCATTCTTCTCACTGTGTCCTTGGTAGTTAGTACTGGTTGAGTTTTCAGTAAATTCTCTAGTGCGAGCACCCAAAGGAGTTTGTCACAACTTCTTCTATACTTTCCAAGTGTTCCTTATAGTTCACATCATTAGATCAGATCTTTTCAGACGCAGGGAGTTATATCTGATTTAGCTCCCTGCAGCTGAGGCTTAGTTTCTGGCACTTACAGGACATTTGGTGTGAATAGTCCCATTGCTGTCCCTGCCCTCTGCGCTCCAGAGGAACCTCCTGACTTCACAGGTTTTGTTAAACTGTCTCTGCCACAGAAATGCTCCTCCATCATTTGTCCTCCTAGGGGTGTTGCTTTCATCTATTGCTTTTCATCTTAACCTAACAAACAAATGGGCATTTGCTGGATTTTGTTTCTCTGCAGACGTGAAAGGCTTGCCATTTAGGTCTCTTGTCAGTTAGAATAGGCTGTGAGGTACATCCCAGTTCTGTGAGGGAAAAGCACTGTGGTCTTATGAGTGCCTTTCAATGACTGAGGAATAACAGGTCATAGACAGTGCGAGTGCTCTTCCTAATAGATGGTGGTGTGGCATTTGGAATTTGATACTTTCGTATTTCCTAGGAAGAGAAAGATCTTTAATACAATAATTTTTTTGAGTTCTTTCTTCCTAACTCCACTTAAGTTATTTAAACAGGGTGTTTTCTTTTTGATGAATATAAACTTAGCAGAGATTTTCAGTAATATAAAATAAAAAGGCAGTTTACTTTTACTTCTTGTTTATATATATATATATCATTGTGAAACTCCTTTCCACAGTACACGACCCGTCAACACTGCTCATTTCAGATCACATCTTTTTCATGGAATTAATTACTTGTATCCTGGCTCAGTGACAAAGGAAAGAGTACTGCTTATGGCTTTGGAGCAAGGCT